TTATTGGTGTGGATCCTTTTGGATTCTTGTTTTGTCTGGTATTTTTTCTCTCTTGCTTGCTTGCTTGTCCTGTTTTGTTTTGTTTCTCTTGGAATTTCTTTTGCAGGTTGAAGCTCAATTGCAATCTCCAATTTAGAGGGAGATTGTTGGAAGGAAATTGGAGATTTTGGTAAGTTTACCAAATCAACTGATTTGGTAATTCCCAACGGTCTGAATCCGGCCTGGCGGCAAATCGGAGAAATCACAGGATTGGATTGCTCAACGGTCATCCCTTGCTGCATCTATTTAAGAGACTCTAATTCTCTGTTTGAGGTGGTACTTTTGCAAGGCTGAATTACTAGAGCGGGAAAGGGTTCTAGGGATCAAAAGGGCTTGTGGAAATCAGAGGTATAGGTTCTGATTTCACAAGGTTGTAATCGTGAGTTTCGGTTGAAATCACGGCTGAAGCCTAAGCTGCTGCTTAGGGTCTGTTCAATTACTCTCAAATAAATCTCCTGGAGTACAGCGAATGCTGATCTCTGGGATGTGGAAGTAGCCATTGCACTGGGTGAACCACATTAAAAAACTCTGTGTCTCTCTGTTCTTCTTTGCTATTTCGGTTCAGCCTACTGCTCTGTTTCTTGTGTACGTTTTGTGCAGAAGCTCTATGTTTTCTGCTAAAGAAGAAGAAGACTATTCTTTTGGGTCTTCCTCTTCAGTTCCGTGGCTTAAGGCCTTTGATTGTAGCACCTTGGGCCTGCTGTGACTTAAGCCCATCTGTAAGCAAAGTGCCTGCAATCAAAGCCTGACACTTCTTGTCTCAGCCTTCGTGTTTGCTTCTCACTTCGTCTTTTCTCCCCTTTCTCGAACCCTAATTCCTCTGCCTCAATTCAATTTACACAAACATGACCTCACAAAGAACCAAGGATGAATGTGTGCTAAGTGTAGGGGCCAACAAGGTTTGAATGTTGAAAGACGAAGTCAAGTGGGCCACATGGGTGATCGCCGACTTGTCAAAACTGGACATCGTCTCCAACAACATGAGGGGAGTAAGCATGTCTCAATCGAGAGGCAACCAAGGCAGAGGAAACTCATGGTTGTCTTGACATGTCAAGTAAGGTGGCCAAAGCACAGGAGCATGGAACCCCATGTAAGGCCACCAAGGCAAGACATACCGACCATATACCACTCAGTGGTAAGTTAGAAAATTCAAAAATGTATGGAAAGTCATCTCCCATAGAGAAAAAGAGTCATGTGGTCTATGGATGGCTTGCCTGCTTCAATCCATGGACTTGGCAGTGGGTGTACACCTTTGGCACATTAGTTGTTGCCAGAGGCGATGGAGAGCAGTGACGTTTGTCACTCCTTGTTATCTTAAATAAATAAATATCATATATATTAATAAATAAATAAAAGCCAATCATGACTATATAAGAAAAAATAGAGAGAAAATAACAAAGTGGAAATTTTGAGTCGAAGTTATTAGACTTTGATGTGAAGATCTTACCACCAAGTCGTAGTGATGGCTTGGCATACCGAGTCGTAGATTGCGTCTTGCCATGATATGTCTTCTTGTCCCAAGTGGCCACCAGTTTGGATGTTGGCCACGACCTAAGGGCATCGTGGGTTGGAGATGAGTGATGGTCAGCTTGAACATGTAAAATAAGAAAAGTGTAAGGGCCTCACTGAATTGTTGACGAGAAGCCAAGAAGGTAAGGGTTTCTCGTGGCTACACATGAATGAAAACAACATAGGCGGCATAGCTAGCCAGTTGAAAAACGTAGGTACCATGGTGTTGTTTAAGAGGAAAAAATTTCAAGTTTTATTGAACTTGTGGTCATGGGTGAGTAGAGACAAGCCTTGTTACTCGAGGACCAGTTAGAGAAGGGATATAAGTGGTCAAGTTGGTATCAACTACTTAGTCCATAATCCTTATGCACTAAGTAGTTTGGGGGGCATTTGTTTATACCATAAATTTTATCTTGTACCACATTGGTGAGTTACAAGATAATTAATGAGTTTATAAGGCCACACCCATTATAACAATTAATGTTGTTTAAGTTGGGTCTTATGGATATTGATTTTAAGCCCAAACCACTCAGTCTGGAGAGGGTCATGTCCGTCTAAAATCTAGAGGCACATGCCGCCTCAACGAAGAGGGCCATGTCCATCTAGAAATTGAGGAGCACATGCCGCCCCGCAACCAGTACCGAATGACTGAAAAATAAACTAAGTCTGGAAGAGGTACATGCCGCTTCAAGGAGAAGCATGTGCCACTTCAACGAGAGGTCCATGTCGCTTCACGAGAAGGGGCATGGACGCGAGACAAGATGAGACGTCCATGCCACTTCACGAGAAGGGGAATGGACGCAAGAAAAGATACTAAGTATGAGAGGGCCATGTTGTGTCACGAGAAGGGTCACAGACATGACTGAGACGTCCATGGCCGTGAATGAGGAGGCCATGTCGCCTCATGATCCAAAATATACTAAGTCTGAGAAGGCCATGCCGCCTCGCGAGAAGGGTCATGTGCATGATTAAGAGGTCCATGACCGTGTCATGTGATGGCCATGGATGCGAAGCAAGAAGCATTAGAAATGATTGAAAATACTAAGTATGGAAAGGCCATGCTGCCTCATGAGAGGCGCCTTGTACATGATTGAGAAGTCCATGCCACTTCACAAGTGTGGCCATGGACACGAATGAGAAGGGCGTGGTGGTGGAGCACTATATCAGTAATGACTAAGTCCCAAGTGGGCCATGGACATGAGTAAGAAGTCCATGACCGTAAGACAAGAAGGCCATGGACATGAGTAAGAAGTCCATGGCCGCGAGGCAAGAAGACCATGACCCCCTTTGTGAGACACCACATGCTCGTCAAAAGACTAGCATGTCACGAGATTCAGAACAAGACCAGGCGAGGCAAGCTACACTCTAAAACCCACGACGGTTCCAAGAGGCACCTAGGCGGTTGAAGGAGTAACCACCACTCCGAGGAAGCAGGGAGCGGTTCTTTTTGGGAGTTATCCAAGAGGCGGTTTTCTACCGAAGAAGGAGGAGCGGTTCTTTGTAGCAGTTATCCAACAAGCGGTTTTCTATGGCGGTTACCTCCTCGGGGCTATAAATAAGAGGAGGGGTCGACAGAGACAGAGGTTCCAATACCAACACTCTGACACACATGTCAAGTTTATCCTTTACCTTTTCTCTATCATGTAGCCATAGATGTAGTTCGTAGTTTGGAGCTCTCGCCGAACCTCCATAGGAGGTTAATTAATTTAATTTAGATCTCGTTCCCAGAAACCATCAATCAAGCACCCTCGTTCGAACTTTGTTTGAAGAGGTGTGGGTCGTGTCTTAGTAATCGTTGCCCAAAGAAGTCAAAGGTGCATTAATCTCATTTCAACGCAAGTTTTCTCGCCGGAAAACACTAAGTGCTTTGTGTCAGAAGAATCGACAGATCATCTCCTTCTCCTTTTTTTTTTTTTTTTTTTTGAAAGTTTGGATTTCATTAAGAGCAAATGGGCCAAGCCCAGAGGAAAAGTCTACAAGCATTAGGTAGCAAAGGTTGAAAAAAACTAAATCAACAAGCCCACCCAAAAATCCAGCACCCAATAGGGCCCAGACGAGGAGCTCAAACATTGCTTCAGCCAACCAAGCCCTAGCCGCCTAGATGCCCCATCTAATGCCTCTGTTGCCGCTGGGAACTACCCAGAACCGTCGCTCACACCAACCAAGATTTGAGGGTCCAACCAACTCGAAAAGAGAGGAGTAGAAGAACAAACCTCTGACTAGAACCTCTCCAAGCCAATCGTCATCTGCATCTCAGCGACCACCACACAAGAGGAAGCTTCAGAAAAATCGGGCGGCCGACGATGGAACCAGAGGGGAGAGTCTTATGTCTTCAAAGCTCTCCAACCGAGTCCAAGCCAAGGTCTACATCTCCAAAACACCAAGATCTGCAAGGTGAAGCAAGGAGGTAGACAAGGGGAAGGAAGAGGAGAAAACAAGCCAAATCTTGGAAAGATCCAGCCTCCTTTGCATCTTAGAAACGATTCATCTCCAGATATGAACAAACATACCAGAGGCCAAAAGATCAACCCACTGAAGGGGAAGGAAGAAACTCACAAGGAGCAAGGGCCAACCACACAAGGAAAAACAAGCCAATCGATGACAAGATCTGAGAGAAAAAAGGAAAAGGGAACTAAACTACGAAAGGAAGCGAAGCAAGAGAGTAGAGGAGATGAAAAAGGAAAGGAGAGGAAAATCGCAAGAAAGAAGAGGCTGAGGGCTGCCGCCGGTCGCCGGAGGAGCGCCGACAGCAGCCCCCATGGAGGGAGAAAGGACAACCGCCTTCTCCATTGTATATACGCTAAACATGTTTGGTACCACTATCTTGTGCGACTAATGTTTATTTGGACCCATACCTCGCACATGCCGTGAGCTTCTCCAGCAACGGAGGTATCTTATCAAATCTTGGAGATTTCCTAAAGCGTTAAGCCAACTTCCTCATGTTATCTTCTGGCATATATGGACTGAAAGAAACTAATGAATCTTTGAGGACTATCACACTTCAACTATGGGACTCACCCAAAAAAACAAAAATCAATGCAGTTATTTGTGCTTGGACAAATTTGAAAATTATCTCCGGTCAAGATTCGACATCTCTCTTGTGCTTAGTTTAAGAAAATACGAGGACTTCGACATACCAACCACCTTGATCACGGTTCACTGCATCGACAATCATTTACTCTTTTGTTTCCATTTCCGCTCCACCTTAATTATGTCCTTTTTTTATTTTCCTTTCTCTCCGTTGTACTCGGAGTTGGTCTGCCACTTATGAACCCCCTCCACTCTTTTTGGAGAATAAAATCGAGCAACACATTTTTAAAAAAATAACCTTACGAATATTAAGGCCTTATATATATGAGTATCCACTTCCTTTCTCTAATTTTCTACCACCCAACATTCATTAGTACATTCATTAGTAGTGTTCATTATCCTTCCAATAATAATAAAAGAAAAAGTTCCGCCATGGGAAGTCGATTAAATTTGCACCCATCTTCTTGCTTATCATCATTTCTATCCATCATTAGCACTCTCCTCGCCGGCGCCGGTGGATCCTCCCGGCCGCCGCCGAAAGTGCCTTGCTATTTCATATTCGGGGACTCCCTATTCGACGGCGGCAACAACAACCACCTCAACACGCCGATGAAGGTCGATCACTCTCCCTACGGCGTCGACTTCCCTTCCGGCGTCGCCACGGGAAGGTACTCCAATGGACGAAACACGGCCGACATAGTTGGTGATTAATCATTACATTAATTACATCGATTACTTGTCACCTTTTTTTTTTTTTTTTGCAATTAGAAATTTCGTCCATCATTGATTAATTAATTAACAAGGGGTTCTAATAATTAGTTGCACACTACAGGCGAGCTGCTGGGATTCAAGAGCTTCATCCCGCCATTTGCATCGACGCCTAACGACTCTGAGATACTCGTCGGGGTGAATTATGCATCTGGGACCGCCGGAATTCTTGTCGAAACTGGGAAATACATGGTACAAATTTTTTTAATTAATTAGGTTTTTTGCACCATTGAGCTAGATTGTTCTTCAATACTTTAATTAAATTTTTTTTCTTTCCTTCTCGATCGGACTTGGTCTCATTAACGTTAGCACCGTTCTCGCTGCGACCTACTGAATTAGTGGTTTACCCTGAGATATTCAATCTGAATCGTGTGATTTTCTTTTTCTCATGTTAAGTTGATGTATAATCCTGATTTTCCCCCCATTAGTTGCATGGAATTTTTAATATATTTACAGCGGGTACATAGGGGGGTGGGATTCGGGACAATTTGGTTAAATCGAACTGGATTAACCGATTTTTGGGTTTTCGACAAAAAAAAAACACGAAGTGAGAAAATCAGATTGTTTAATTTCAAACGGTTTTAGTTGGAATCCGATCAAATAGTTTTGGTTTGATTCGATTTAAACCAATGTTTCGGAATGACTTGGTTTCGGTTTCGATTGGGAGGGGTTCAGGGCAGTGGCGTAGCCAGAATTTCAGTCAAGGGGGTGCATTACAAAAATAACATAAGCAAATACATTGACAGAAACCAATTTTATCTTCTGACTATCGTTGTCGTACAAAGTTATTGATTTTTTCTAATAATCCGCACGTCATAACCATCTTAATAAACTGTATTAATGTAGATATTAGTAGGTTAAATTAATTTATATAATCAATCATGGTTTGATACTAAAAATATGCGAATTAACAATAAGATTTTGAGTTCATTGTTCATTATTAGTACTACTATTTTTTGTGGTGCTCCAAATCAAGGGTGTGCCATTGCACACCCTAATAAGGGGCTAGCTCCGCCCCTGGTTCAGGGATTTCGATTTTCAATTTTGGAGAAACAATCTATCTAGTTTTGGTTTTGAGTTTTTTAAATGGTTTTTTGATTCGGTTAACCGTACCGAATCGAACTGATATATCCCTAATCATCAAACTATAAGATTCCCGTTGACAATGGTTTTGCAGGGTGAGAACATAGACATGAGCCAGCAAGTGAAGAATCACGAACAGACGGTGTCACGTATAGCTCAGAAATTGGGGAGCAAGAAGGCTGCCGACGACCACCTAGGGCAATGCTTGTACTTGAGCAATATGGGCAACAACGATTACATCGCTAATTACCTCGTGACCCAATTCTCCAACTTCAGCAAACGCTACAACCCTGACCAGTTCGCCGCACTTCTCGTCGAACAATACTCTCACCAGCTCGTGGTAAGTCCCCCTAGCCAGGAAAATTTCCCTAAAATTTTTACTATGACGATATTTAAAAAAAAAAAAGTCACAAAATACTAAACTTTGGAGTGGTTTACTTCCGGTATCAAGCGAACTAAGTACCGGTTCGCAGAGCGGACCGTTGTGGATTGCGACAGTCTTGAATGAACCAAACCCAATAGGCTAGATAGATCGTGGCAAACAGAAGCGAACCACACTGGCTCACTCTCTACTCCAGCGATCTTGCCCCAAAGTTGCTAGACAAACCAGCGATCTACATCTAAGGTCGATCGAAAATTCTAACGGTGATCCAGGTCGTTTCAATACTGATTTGCTTCAATTTTTCACGATTTGGATTGGTTTGATGTAGATCGCTTCTGTCTTTGATGAACTACAACCTAATCATCATGCAAACCTGCTCCCATTTTGTGTTATCGAGTCAAGAGATAGATAAATAGACACAAGATAGATAAATAGACACCTGGATCAGGACACTGGAATGAACTACGCCAAATTCTAGTACTTTGGTAAAAAAATTTAGTAAATGTGGTATTATCAATTCGTTATATAATAGAGGTCGTTTGCTTGTAGGATTTTGATGAGGAATTTTGTCCCAAAATCTCATATGGGTTGGATTATTGTCCAAATCCATGTTTGTTGATAAAAATGATATTGACATAAATCCGTGGGGCCTATAAATATGGGATTTTTGTTTGCTCAAAAGCCGTGGACCCCACAGATTATAAAATCTCACCTCATTAGGTAAGATTTTGAGAAGTACCCAAATCCATGGACCCCACTAATTATGAAATGACCAAAGTGTCCTTAACAAAAAAAAAATACTTTAATAAAGAATAGAAGAAGGATAAGAAGGTAAACTCATCATTTAACTCATAAATCCAATATAGTAAAATCCATTTTGAAAACTAATAAGCAAACATGCAATTTTTAAAATCCAACACAAATTCAAAATAGCAAAATCCAACATAAAACTACAATTTCAAAATCCAAAATTTTACCCTAATCCTTCATTTTTCAAAATCTCACAAACAAACGACCTAAGTGTAGGATTTAGGGGTAATTTTTCTCCCCTACTCGTTGATTTTTCTTTAAAAAATGTGGTATGTAGCTAGGCCACACAATCCACATTCGCTTGACCCGAGCTGTTTGCTTTTAGAGAATGCACGAATTGGGGGCAAGGAAGGTGGGAGTCGCCGGCGTGAATCGAATCGGCTGCACGCCCGGTGCTATAACAACCTACGGAACCAACGGCTCGCTCTGCGTCGAATCCATGAACAAGCTCGTGGTCCCGTTCAACAACCGCCTCGAATCGCTCATCGACAACCTCAACGCTCGTTTCTCCGACTCCGACGCAAAGTTCATCTACCTGGACAGCACACTCGCCGGCGCCATTGCCGGCCTAGGTAATAACTCTTCAACTTTCTGATTCGAGAGAAGAAAAAAAACCCATTTTATTAATGACTCTTCTTGACCTAATTAATTAATTAATTTCGCAGCTTTTCCGATCAAATCGTCGCCGTGCTGCAAGGCGAGCCCGGCGACCGGAATCTGCATTCCCAACACGGATCCTTGCAAGTTGAGAAGGGCGCACGCCTATTGGGACGCTTTCCATCCCACGGAAGCGGCCAGCCGCCTGATCGCGCTCTTTTACCGGTGGGCTCTCGGACGAATCTTGTGACGAACTGCTACTTCAGGGCAACAATAATAAGCTGTGATCCGCTTTGCAGCAGTTACATGCTCCTTTCCCTCTATTTTGGGTGCTCTGTAATCGTGTGTTATCTTATTCAAAATAAATTGTCATTCCGTCAATCCAACAATCACGAAACACCCAACGTACATAATCGAACTTAACAAATGCAAGTAGCATTCAGATAAGCATTCAGATAAGGACAACTGTAATTTGATTTCTCAAGAGCAACAGAATCATATCTGAGATATATCACAATAGTAGTAGTAGATATAATATTGGAGGCATAGGTTAGTGATAATAATGATGACAAGAGCTTTTATAAGTTTGAACGACAAAAGAAATCTGAGAATGAATGTTTCACAGACAATCACATCACGCACAAGAGAGGAACATAGGAATGGAGGGGGAATTACAATGTTTTTAACCCACATCAGCAGCAGTAGACAGTAGTAGTAAAAGGAAAGATACTTCATTTCATGACCTTTTCTCTCAAAAGGCTGAAGCAGCAGCAACAGTGTTCTAGTATTTCCACTGCCTTTTTTTTTTTTTCATTATACTTCACAACACTTGGTTCATATATGCATTTTGGTGGCATACACCTGCACAAAGATATGTGCTTCTTACAGACTCTGGAAGGAGAGCAGAAATGGCTTCCTTTCCCCTCTCTCCATTGATGCACATTCAGCTGCCAAACGGAAATCACAAAACTTAGGGATTAAAATGCAAAATGGGAAGGAAGGAGGGAGGGAGGGAAAGAGAGACAGGAGTTGGCTTACACCAACTGAAGTGCCATGTGTTCTTGTTGAGGGTAATGGTTGGTGGGCTGCAATGCATTGACTTGGAAGTAGTTTCGAGAGTCGAACTGCTGGTGTGGCTGCACGATCTCGTAGCTGCTACTCGCTCCTGGCATCAAGCTCATGCTCTGCTGCTTCCTTTCATTCTCAGCAATCTGCAATGCACACCATCCAACCATCAACTCACAATGACTTCATTGGGATTCAATTCGAAATAACTTAGTCAATACTGGAAATACAGACGAAATCAAGAGCGAAAGTTGAGACCTTTGCACGAAGAAGCTGGTTATTGTTGTGTAAATCAATTTCCTGCATCATTTGCACATATATATGTTAGCTAGGGACTAAGGAAATATGAACCCTAAGCTGGTTTCCCTCAGCCTGCTCACAAATTGGCAACACTATTACATCATTGCAAGATTAGGGCTCGGAATCTGATACTCATATAACTGAATCCAAAGTCAGGAGAAAATGGTTCTGAATCTAATACTCATATATGAAAATTTAAGCCAAAAGGAGAGTTACCCTCTTCTGCATATACTCTATCTCAGCAAACAGCAGCTCATTCTGGTGGGGAGAAGAAGAAAAATTGGAAGAGTCAGGAAGAGCTACAAAGTGCTGAAATGGGATGGAGAAGTACTGTGATGTGATCAAAACAAAAATAAGTGACCTTTTTGGAACGGATTCTGCTGATTCCTTTCTCTAGTTTGCTCTCCAGGTTCTTGAGCTCCTTGGCATTCAGGCCTCCGAGTGATTCACCAAGCATGTGTCTAGAAGAAGAGCCAGAGTTGTTTGCCAACATAGCAAGATTCCTGTTAAAAGCCTTAAAGACCTGTTCTAAATATAGTCATAGCTTGCCATTCAAGACTTACCTGTTTGTGTTCAGCAAATTCCCAATCTGCTGCCGCAGCTTGGCAGCCTCTTGCTGATAGTACTGCTCAAATAATTTCCGATGCAAGGGTGGGGGAAAAAAGCAAAAGGGAATAATAGGCAATAAGTGCAGGTTTAGTGAAAATAGAGAGCTGTAGCAACAAACAAAAAGTAACATCATTTAACCAGGAGTCTAAACCATGAACTTTCATTTTGGGTATAACCCTAACTCTAACTGCCAATAAAGTTTGGTTCTTTACCTAGAATAGGCACAATCAATCACAATCAATATACTTTTGGGAAATTTGGTTTAATGTTTTTCCTGGTTCTCTTTATGTTGCTTTTGGGCAAATCAATCAGCAGCCAGTCAAAATGTGTCAAGCGACACAGGCTATGAAAGGCTGATGGGAAGGGCGAGCTACATTTCCCAATGAGTAAGCTTCATTGTTTCTTTTTTTGTTGACAGAGAAGTTAGTTTTCAACAGGAGTTGTTAGATAAGAACAGTGAATTGAAGACATTGAAGCAGTAGGTAAACAGTAAGAATGGTTGACAAAGTCCAAACTTGTCTGGCTAGGGTATGTTTGGCTTCGGTCTAGTATATATCTCAAGGAGTTGATCTACCGATAATTCGAGGATAAAAAGATAGCATCAATACCAACAATGACCTATAAAAACATACATACTTTGTATACCTGAGCATTGGCCTCAGCAACAGATCCAGTGTTTGCGGTGTCTGAATTGGCCTTCTTGTACCTATCAATGGTGGCCTTAACACTGCATAACAACCACAGCAAACATAACCATCAGCATTATTAATAAATTAAGCTAAAAGGAACCCCATTGCAGAAGTAATCATCTTAATCATGCCATGAATCTATCTTAGCAGAAAAACTAAATTTTCAAGGCAAAGCAAAAACTGAAATGAATGGTGGGAGAGCTCCGACTCCATTTGAACTGAAACTCCTTTGGTTTTGAGATCTAATGAAGTAGAATATGTAATCACTAACTGAAATGGTTTGGAAATAATAATTGAACTGAACCACACATCATCTCCAAGACGAGAAGCTTGATTGATTGGACTCGAATGATTATGAACCAAAACATGGGATGTCCATCTAATCAATATAAAGAATGACGGCATCTAGTGACACAATAGGGCGTCAATAAAAGCCCCACAGCTCCTGCGCCCAGTGAACCATTAACACTTCCACTTGCTATTTTTTGGAAGTCGTTGGAATCAACCAGACACTCGAATGGATACAAAGCTCAACCCATTGACCAAAATTTTGAATAACAACATGAACTCATCAACCCATAAGAATACAAAGATAACGACTCCCTCTTATCGAATGGGCTATCGTTAGGGGTGGCAATGGGTCGGGTTTCTCTAAATTCAAACCGAACCCAACTGGTGCATCCATTAAAAAAACCTGATAAAATATACATTGGGTTTTAGAGTCGAAAATCCGATAAAATATACATTGGTTTTAGAAGTGAAAACTCAACCCAACGAGTACGCATGAGTTAACGAATATAACCATATGTTATATATTCGAACACCTACATCGTAATATTGTCGAAACTTTTCCTATAAATATATCTACATAAAGACTACTTATTTAATATCCATAAATTATCAATATTATTAGTTTTATAGTTTCACAAAGACTAATAAATAATAATATCTACAAATTATTCATATTGTTCCGGGTAATACAAAATGATGTCGTTTTGTTTATGGGTGCGAGCCGGGTGGAAACTACTTGGATTTTGGCAAAACCCGAACCGGACCCAACCTGCCTATTTCAAAAGTGGGTTAAACTCACATCCGACCTGAAACCAGTTAACACTAAATTTTATCCGCTTAGACCGGGTTGGATCGGTTGTGTCATCCCTAGCTATCGAGATCCTCCTTACCGACGAGTCGAATGTAGACCCTAACCAATAATTAACCATTATGCTAATAACTTGGGCGAGATTAGTTGTTACAACCTACAACTCAATATTGCTTAACAAATTCATTAAGCACACTCCATTAACATGAAACGAACTAATGATTCATAACTGCAAATGAGGGTTACTAAATTATGGGGTTGGATGGACATGGTTTTGCAAGTAGTATTTAGTAGTTAGTAGAGATGGCATGTTTACCCATCCTAGGAAAAGTGACGTAATATGATGGTCAAATCAACCCCCAACTCTCCAAAAACTGACCAAGATTATCCTAATACGAAACCTCCATTTAGGTTTAGATACAAGCTATATGGTAACAGGATATTGAATGTCCCAGAATCCCACTTCCCAGAAACTAGTCAGAAGGAACTGATTTTCACTGACTTTAAAACCCCCAAAAAAGATAAATGGAAAAAATTGAAAAACGAGGAGCAAGGGTTTGAAAAGACCCTTCTTTTATAGGGTAGCTGCCTGCTGCCTGATAACCTTAATTTCGTCGAGCAACTGATTGGCTGCCGCATGCCAACTTGGCAACTTGGTACCAAAACATGATTGGTTGGACTCGATCAACGGTCACACATGACGCCACGTGTCTCGAACCCATTACTCGACGGTTAATCCCCTAAACCCACGACCTTTATTACCCACCTCGAACAAAACTATTCAACCCAATTTAAGCCCTTTGACAGTGAGTGCACCAGCTGACGAACTGAGAGAAACCAAAACAAATAACTAAAAGGGTTTTCCTTTTCTCTTCATCTAAGTTTCAGATCAAATCACAGCCGTCCAAACCAACAACAGGGCTATAATTGGACGTACATTTTTTTACCCCATTTGCATGGAAGAGAAAACCCAAAAGGAAAAACGGGCAGAAACCCTCCCATTGGCTCCCCCTCAGCTGTCGTACGGCTTGTTTCTTGTCTTCTCTCTGTTCTGCAGTAACTCTGCAAAACTTCACCTTTCTAGTTGTCCTCTTTCTCAAATCAAAATCCCAGAAGAAGGGTTGCATAAACTGGATCTAAAGGAAAGATCTTTCGATGGAAGCAAACGCAGAGAGATTGTTTTATATTAATAACCCAACAGTGCCATCATCATTGTGACCTTATGTATATACCAGAACCCTCAGCCTGGGTTCCTGAGCTGAGAATCTAAACTTGTGAGCAGAAGATCAACTTGCGGCAACCCATTTTCTCGAATTTTACAGAAATTTAGGGTTTGGGGGAAATATGACACACTAAGATTTTAACTCTAGCCACCAGTACTGTGTCAGAAGTCAAGGAAGGAACTGCAAAATCGCGTGGTGACGTGACCAAAGATTCTGTTTTTTTGCTAAAGAACCCACCTTTACTCCTTTAACTGAAAACCACTCCCCAAAAATGGTCAGCCTGCTGATTTAAGAACCCTAACCTAAACCCTTTTAGTTACCCTCTCCTGGGAAAAAGTGAAAAAAGAAACTTTTCTTATTTTGCTTTCTGGGTATCTGAGTTTTGATTGGTGGGTAATGGGAGAGAGAGGAAGAAAGAAAGAATATGAAGATCTTTGTGTTGGGTTGTTTGATTTTGAGGATGGATTACCTCATTCCCCAAACACTCTTAAATGACACAAATACTAGATTA